ATTACTCGACACAAGCTTCGAAGCCTCGATACAGAACGTCACATCACTACTTTAAAGGGAGTTTTACGTTTCCATTGTGACAAAGTACATGCTCAATGGGGGTTTAGTTGAGTGTGAGCTCCCTTTTTATTATTTTATTATAATATACAGCACATTGAAGCAACTGCTGTTGTGATTTGGCGCTGTATAAATACAACTGAACTTTGCAACACCTCATAACAAACTCCTGACGTTGTAGTGAAATGATCAAATTTATGAAAATTTTAAAGATTACAACACAGAAGGTAAAAAAGATTTGTCTTAAGTTGTCAGTTTTGTTAACTTTACATTTAGACCAAAAAAATCGTCATACTTTTTTTTAATACAAAAGATCCATCACCAAATGGTCTTGGAATTGTCGGCCAGAATGGCGGTAAACTTAGCAAGCTGCCTCACATGGTAAGTCACAAGCACAATGATGACAACTAAAATGGTATTTATTGTTAACTTTTACAGACAACTTTAAAAAGACTAGTAATAGAAGCTTGTAAAACTGAGTACATTCAGGACAATAAAAATCGCTGTGAAGAGCAGTTAGAGTACTTAGCTTCCACCAAGGAAATAAAAAGGATGCAAGAGTTATGTTTGTGAAAAGTGGTTTGTGGGGACACACAACAGAATATGAATGACAGAGTGAATAACACAAACAGGTCTCCTCCCGGTGGGACATACCCAGAATACCTCATCCACCCCGGGAGGCATCCTTGTCAGATGCCCAAACCATCTCAACTGGTTCCTTTCTATTCGGAAGAGCAGCGGCTCTACTCTGAGCCCCTCCCAGATAGCCGAACTTCTTACGCTATCTCTAAGGGAGAGGCCAGCCACCCTTCACGATCTCGTTCTTTTGGTCACTGTCCACAGCTCGTGACCATACGTGAGGGTAGGGGCGTAGATTGACTGGTAAATTGAGAGCTTCTTTTTAACACTTAGCTCGAGGGACCAGTAGAGCATCACTACCTCTCTTTGAGGCAGTCCAAAAGTCTTTTTCATGGCCTCTTCAAGCTCCTCCCACACACTCCCACGTGCAGTTATGGCCAAACTTATGTTCAAACATGGTGCTCGTCATGGCCAAACTGTGGTTTGCACAGAAGTCCAACAACAACACACAACTTGGTTCAGATCCGCGAGGCCGTTCCTCCCAATCACACCCCTCCAGGTCTCACTGCTGTTGCCCACATGAGCATTGAAGTCGGCCAGTAGGACAACACAGTCCCTAGGCGGAGCACCCTCCAGCACCCCAACGGGAACTCCAACAAGACTGAGTACTTTAAACCTCTACTTGGTGCATAACCACAGACCCATTCCCCAACCTGAAGCCAAGGAAACAAAACCTCTCATCCACTAGGAGAAACCCCAACGTACAGACAGCAAGCCAAGGGGATACTAGGATACCCGCCCCAGCCCACCGCCTCTCACTCCAGTACCTGGACTCTTTCTCAGTCTCGCAACTCCAGACTGAGATAGAGTCCAGCCCCTCTCCAGGATACTGGTTCCAGAGCCCAAATTATGGATTGCGGTGAGCCTGACTATATCTAGCCGGTACCTCGCAACCTCAAAATGCAATAACTTCTCCACCAGAGAGGTGACATTACTTGTCCCAATTGCTAGTATTGTTAGTCCGTCACACAATGCACCCCAGCCCTACAGGGCCTCCTGTGTGTGAACTGAACAAATCCAAAATGCATGCAAAACTGATAAAATACGAAGCCCATTTGCTTTTTTATACATACTGTTAAGGTTCAAATATTGAGGAAGGAGAGTACAAACAACCATGGTCCAGAAGATCCTGGTCAAACAATTGATTTTAATGAATACACGCGTGGGAAGACCACTCTGTACGCAGACAGG